AGCTGAGCCCCAGCCACTACAGCGAGCAGCAGCAGCACTCGCCGGCGCAGCAGATCGCCTACAGCCCCTTCAACCTCCCGCACTACAGCCCCTCCTACCCGCCCATCACCCGCTCGCAGTACGACTACACCGACCACCAGAACTCCGGCTCCTACTACAGCCACGCGGCCGGCCAGGGCTCCGGCCTCTACTCCACCTTCACCTACATGAACCCGGCGCAGCGGCCCATGTACACCCCCATCGCCGACACCTCCGGGGTCCCCTCCATCCCGCAGACCCACAGCCCCCAGCACTGGGAACAGCCCGTCTACACACAGCTCACCAGACCTTGAGGAGACCGGAGACAAAGGGTGATGGATGAATGGATGGATGATCGGCCTGATGTTCATAAAAACAACCGAAGAAAGAAAGAAAAAAACAAAACCAACCCACCAGAATTTCTGTGCATTGGACATTATTTTTTTCTTCTTCTTCTTCTTCTCATTCCATAAAGACATTTTAAGCTACAAGGCAACTCGGACCCAGATTCCAGGACAGAAACGTTTGCTGTCCAACACGCATGCCCACCTTGTAGGAGGCAGGCAGTGGCCAGGCCACAAGGGGCTTCGAGGGGCCCCTGGGCATCTCCACGCGAGGCGGGACATGGAACCCTTCTTCACAGCGAGCTCGGAGGATGGTGGAGACCCGTGGGACCCTGTTTGCTCAATCCCTCTGCCTGTTTGGACTTTGTAATTATTTTTTAGCAGTAATTAAAGAAGAAAGTCCTCTGTGAGGAATATTCTCTATTTTAAATATTTTTAGTATGTACTGTGTATGATTCATTACCATTTTGAGGGGATTTATACATATTTTTAGATTTAAAAAAAAATTAAATGCTCTTATTTTTCCAACAGCTAAACTACTTAGTTGAACAGCGTGCCCTAGCTTTTCTTGCAACCAGAGTATTTTTGTACAGGTTTGCTTTCTCTTACAAAAAAAACGAAAAAAAAAGTGTTGTTGTATTAACATTTTAAAAAACCCCCCACAGGTTTGTGTTATGAGTTTGGGGGGAGTGGGGGTGTTAGCTTTGCTTAATGCCTCAGGCTTTCTGATTGGAGGAGGAGCTGCCTTAGACAAATAAAGGCCTTATTTTGCGAGTATGGACCTACACACGTTAGTCTAGAGAAGCATATGGTAAGTGTGGTCACATATATATTTTTTAAACGAGAGAAAAAACACACCTTGAGCCTTAAAAGCATGCTGCTGACCAATACCTGCGCTCTCTTTTAGTGCATTTATTTCCTCCTGCGTTTGCCTGTTCGAGGAAATCTTAAGCAAGAAGCAAAAGGCAAGGACAGGAAATGTGATGTGGGGATGTTTCAACAGCCAGCCAGTGGTTTTAGAAGTCAGTAGAATAAAATCTTAAAGCACTCTTATAATATGGCATCTTTCCATTTCTGTATAAAAGCAGACCTTTTTTAAAAAAAAGTATTTCTGTAACTTAAAAAACCTGGCATTTAAATCATATTTTGTCTTTAGGTTAAGGTTTGGTTCGTGTTTGTGTTTTGTTTGTTTCCTTGTCCCCCTCCCCATACACCCCGAAACTTTTGTTCTCTCTGTGAAACTTACCTTTTCTTCTCTCTCTTTTTTTTGTATATTATTGTTTACAATAAATATACATTGCAATAAAAAGAACACTGCCCTGTGGACTTACTCACCCCTTTCTCTTGGGAAAAGGATGATTTAAAGAGACTGTTCTCTGTGAGGTTTTGGTTTTTAAGTGCACTCTTGGCAATCCCAAAACCAGCCCTGGGAAGACAGTGCCCTCAAACATCAACACACAAAGATCTTGTCAAGTGCCACCCCATTAGGGCACAAAGAGAATCACATGTCAGTAGTTGCCGGTGCAGGCAAGTGTGTGTTGTGGTTTGGGGCAAAAGCTGTTCGCTGTGGAAGTCGGGAGGGCATATTAGCCCCGGAGTCAGCGGCCTGTGGGAAGGTACAGGCCAGAGGGGGTGACTTGCTTGTCTGACTTCACGAGAGCCAGCTTTCTGTGATGATGAACGCACCCCCCAAAATGGGGTGTCCACTTCCAAAGCAAAGGAAGCCAGAGTCAAACTGTCAGGAGGAGGGGGGCCAGGGGAAGCCTGTCCTATTAACCCGGGAAATCATTCAGAGTTTACCTGTGGGGGCCACAGAGTGAGATGGTTTTTCTGTTCCCTCCGGTTTAACTCCTTCCGAGGCGATGCAAAGCCATCGCAGAAGTACTAAGGCCTAATCCTGTTTTCCTTGGCCCCGGTTAGATGGGAGTTTCCAGGATCAGAGAACCGTTCAGGTCATTTTTCATTACACAGATGAAATCACTCCTTCCCTCCCACCCCCACGCTGTGAGATGGTTTCTGTTCCCTCCGGTTTAACTCCTTCCGAGGCGATGCAAAGCCATCGCAGAAGTACTAAGGCCTAATCCTGTTTTCCTTGGCCCCGGTTAGATGGGAGTTTCCAGGATCAGAGAACCGTTCAGGTCATTTTTCATTTT